ACTATACTATACTATACTATACTATACTATACTATACTATACTATACTATACTATACTATACTATACTATACTATACTATACTATACTATACTATACTATACTATACTATACTATACTATACTATACTATACTATACTACACTACACTACACTACACTACACTACACTACACTACACTACACTATACTATACTATACCTTGTTTTTTTTCTTTCCAATAAAAGCATGTTTTCCAATCTTCACCTCCAATCGCGTCACAGTTAGTTACGGCGTACCGGAGTTGTCAGAATCCGACTGACAACTACTAGTAGTACTACTCTAGTACATCACACTACTACTGCTACATCACATTACAACAACAACTACAACAACTCCTATATCATACTACGCTATCGCAGACCGTGTCCGCAATGAGACAAATTGAAGGAAAAATGCGGATTGTGACTACCGGTATGTCAATACATTATAGAATGTGACTATGTATAAATATGGTATAATGATGGTGGATTACATGCTTGGTCCCGGGCCTACCGCCGTAAGTGGACAGAAGGTACAAAACGGACCTGGTGGATTGGAAGCAAAGCTTGGATCAGATTGAAAAGGACAGCTAGTGTCGACGAATGCGCCGACCACACTTTGATTTGGGATCGGAAGACGCGGGCCCCATGGACAAAGATCCTGATTGAAGGATGATGCATCTCGGAACATTGCAGAAATATCGATAAGAGAAGAAACATCCCATGATGACAAGTCTTGATTGAAGGATGTAGCAAGCTCGAACATTCCTGCCATGTTTGTCACAGACGATACATCCCAGTTGGAAATGTCTTCATTGAAGGTGGACCTATATTGGAAGAGGAATCGCATACTGGTCACACCTGTACCAAAACACCAGTCTCCGATAGGCCCATACGTGTTCTCGACTGTTGTTTTTTGCAATGTTGTACCAAACCAATTGCCAACTTGAGAACCAAGTTCAAAGTTGCTTTCAAAGCATTGTTGTGTGAATACTGTGGGCGTTTGGGAGGGGTTCATGCTTGGTTTCAGTGATGGAACGACAGATGGGACCGTGGAAGGTTGGATCGATGGATTGGAAGATGGAGCCATGCTCGATTGGATTGATGGGTTGGATGATGGAAGCGGTGTTGGTCCTGGAGTTGGAACTGGTGTTGGTGATTTTGATGGCGAAGATGATGGTACTTCCGATGGTATCGCCGTCGGGAGTGGGGTCGGGGGAAGCGTTGGTCCAACGACTGGAGCCAGTGTTGGAGCCAAGGTAGGCAAAGAGGAAGGCTGCGAGCTTGGTGTATCGGATGGTCTTGCTGTTGGGCTTGCAGTTGGCGGGGGCGTCGGGCCGGATACAGGGGCCAAGGTAGGTCTCATGGATGGCAATGCTGTGATTCTTGATGGTGAAGAGCTTGGGGCTTGGGATGTCAATCCGACCACTGGCATTCCAGTAGGGCTCAAAGTTAGAGCAACCACTGCAGTTGGTGATGGAGTTTGCCCGGAATCAGTGGACGGCATTGGAGTTGGAGCCGCTGTTGGTACATCTTGATCTCCAACTCTGACCAAGCGCAATTCGGAGAAGGAATCGTTCAAACCCAATGGATCTTTCAAGTTGTCACCTTCTTGTCCTGCGTTCTTCAATAGATCTGCTATTTGATCAAAGGTGAGACTGACAAGATCCGTCAATTCGACAGGTCCATTCAAAGTGAGAAACAAATTCACCACAATTCTATGACTTGAATCTTGAGTGTCGCCACAGACAAAGGTCGAATCAACTCCACCGGTGGCAAACCCATTGGAAATGACAAAGCGGCTGTCCCCAATAGCAAGTTGTCTTTGCTTCTGTGTGACAGTACCTCTGATCATTGGATTTCCTTTGTTGGCTCGAAGACCACGACGAGTGGCTGTCTGAGTGGGACATCCGGCCAATGATGGGAGAATCGTCTGTTGAATAGAATCCAGTAGAATTTGCACGTCTTGAGCAGTAAGGTCGCAACCAGATTGCAAAGTGACATCAAATGCAATGTCAAAGTCAGTTTGTTCCAAGTTTTCTTGCCCAACTATGGTCTGGTTTGTAGCAATAGCGAGGCAGTCGTCTTCACTGGGTGGTTGATAGAGCTGAGTTACAGTTGGGCCATTGGAAGGTGCGCTTGAAGGAACGCTTGTTGCATCTTCCAAGTTCTCAAAGGGAGTCGTAGTTTCATCCTGAGTTAGACTCACAAAAGTAGCGGCTCCTGCTCCTACGAGTACAATAATGCAACAAACCCCAACAATAGTGATCTTCTTTTTTCTCTTCTTTCGCTCTTCTTTTCTTGCCTCTTCTTCGGCTCTCTGCTTGGCAAGTTTTGTGTTCAGATCCTTTATTTCTTGTTGACGCAACTTTTCCTTGTTCTCAAACTCTTCTCGACGCTTCTTTTCCTTTTCCTCAAAGTCGCGTCTCATCTTTTCAACTTCTTCTTCTTTTCCTTCTGCATCCACCGTGGTAGCCTCAAGCAAAGCCCCATCGGTGAGAGGTGGCCCTGACGGAAGAGACGAAGAATTAGCCCTTTCTCCCTTTCTTCGTTCGCGACGACGACCCGCCGCATCCTCTTCTTCCGGAACCGCCCCTGGAGTCGAGGCTCGGGCAGACCGACGTTCCTTTTTTCGGTCACCCGAGCGTCTAGCGGAATCTTGTCGAGCACCAGGAGTCGATGCTCGAGTGGACCTTCGTTCCTTTTTCCGGTCGCTCGAAGAATGTGTAATACTTCTTCCAGCTTCTCCCCGTTTAGGAGAAAGAGAACTGCTGTTGGACCTTGAGCTT